ATAACCATTGTTTTGAACTCTGTATCTAGTAGTTTGCTTGCTTCCATTTCATTTAGTTCTTTTTCTGGAGATTTCTTCTGTTTTTTTCATTTGTGACATTTTCTTTGTCTCTGCATTTTGGCTGCTTCCCTGTGTTTGTTTCTATGTATTAGGTAGAGCTGCTATGTCTCTTGGAATTGGTAGAGTGGCCTTGTGTAGTAGGTATCCTGTAGGACCCAGTGACTCAACCTCTCCAATCACCTGAACTGGGCACAGTAGGTGTGCCCCTGTGTGGGCTGTGTGTGCAGTCGTTTTGTAGTTGAGCCTTGATTGTTGGTGTCACTGGGAGAAATTAACCTCCAGGCCAATTGGCTGTGATGACCTGCTGCAACTACAGTGGAAGAGTTGCTGTGCAGGAGTTATCCCTACTGAGCAGTCTGCAGATGGCTTCTACCTGTGTTTGGCATGGAAGTGAGGCCAAGCTGTCTTAGGCCTTTTTTTTAAGTTCTTTATTGTTGAAAGTATTACATATGTCCCCTTTTCTCTCCATTGTCCTCTTCCAGCCTACCCCCAGCTCCAGTCCCAGCCTTTAACACCCCCCTATTGTCTGTGTCCACTGGTTATGCTTATATGCATACAAGCTTTTTTGTTGATCTCTCTCCCCCCATCCATGCTCCCCTGCCTTTCCTCTGATGTTTGACAGTCTGTTTGATGATTCTATTTCTCTGGATCTTTTTTTTGTTCATTAGTTTATGTTGTTCATTATATTCCACAATAAGTGAGATTATCTGATACTTATATTTCTCTGACTGGCTTATTTTGATTGGTATAATGCTCTCAAGGTCCATCTATGCTGTTGTAAATGGTAAGAGTTCTATCTTTTTTTATAGCAGCCTAGTTGTAAATTGCACTGCTATGAACGGAGGGGTGCATATGTTCTTTCTGATTGGTGTTTCTGATTTCTTGGGATATATTCCTAGAAGTGGGATTACTGGGTCAAATAGGTCAAATTTTTAATTTTTTGAGGAAACTCCATACTGTTTTCCACAGTGGCTGCACCAGTCTTTATTCTTACCAGCAGTGCATGAGGGCTCCTTTTTCTCCTTATCCTCACCAGCACTTGTCATTTGTTGATGATAGCCATTCTGACTGGTGTGAGGTGGTACCTCATTGTTGTTTTGATTTGCATCTCTCAATGATTAGTGACTGAGCATGTTTTCATGTGCTTCTTGGCCTTCTATATGTCCACTTTTAAGAAGTTTTTATTTAGGTCCTTTGCCCATTTTTTGATTGGATTGTTTATTTCCCTTTTGTTAAGTTGTCTGAGTTCCCTGTAAATGTTGGAGATTAAACCCTTATCGGATATAACATTGGCAAATATGTTCTCCCATGCAGTGGGTTTCTTGTTATTTTGTTGATGGTTTCTTTTGCTGTGCAGAAGCTTTTTATTTTGATGCCCATTTGTTTATTTTCTCCTTAGTTTCTATTGTCCTAGGAGATGTGTCGGTAAACATATTGCTTCAAGCTATATCTGATATTTTGCTGCCTGTGGATTCTACTAAGATTTTTATGGTTTCCCATTTTACATTTAAGTCTTTTATCCATTTTGAGTTTACTTTTGTGTATGGTGTAAGTTCGTGGTCAAGTTTCATTTTTTTGCATATATCTGTCCAATTTTCACAACACCATTTATTGAAGAGACTGTCTTGACTCCATTGTATGCTCTTGCCTCCTTTGTCAAATATTAATTGATTATAAAGGTTTGGATCAATTTCTGGGTTCTCTGTTCTGTTCCTTTGGTCTATATGCTTGTTCTTGCGCCAGTACCAGGCTGTTTTGAGCACAGTGGCTTTGTGATATAACATTATGATATAACTTGATGTCCGGTATTGTGATCCCTCCAAATTTGTTCTTTTTTTTTTCAGGGTTGTTGCAACTATTCGTTTTTTTTTTTTAATTCCATATCAATTTTTGGAGAGTTTGTTCTAGGTCTGTGAAATATACCAGTATTTTAATAGGGATTGCATTGAATTTTAGATTACTTTGGCTAGTATGGACATTTTCATGATGTTGATTCTACCAATACATGAACACAATATATTCTTCCACATGTTTATATCTTCCTCTACCTCTTTTTTTCCAACAACCTGTAGTTTGCTTTATAATGCTTATTTCAAGTACAGGTCTTTTATCTTCTTAGTTAAGTTTATTCCTAGGTACCTTGATTTTGTTGTTGTTGTTGCAATAGCAAATGGGATTGCTTTTTTAGTTTCTCTTTCTGTGAGTTCATTATTGGTGTATAAAAATACCATTGATTTCTGGGTGTAAATTTTGTATCTTGCTACATTGCTGAATTCATTTATTAAATCAAGTAGTTTTTTGATGAAGTCTTTAGGGTTTTCTATGTACAATATCATGTCATCAGCAAATAATGACAATTTTACTTCTTCTTTACCAATTTGGATGCCTTTTATTTCTTCTTCTGGTTTGATTGCTATGGCTCGCACTTTCATTACTATGTTGAATAGGAGTGGTCAAAGTGGGCATCCTGCCTTGTTCCTGTTCTTAGGGGAAATGGTTCTAGTTTTTGCTCTTTAAGTATGATGCTGGTTGTAGGTTTTTCATATAAGGCTTTTATTCCCACTTTGATGAGAGGTTTGATGAAGAAAGGGTGCCTTTTATTGATAGGTATGGGGCAGGCTGCTGCCAGCTGCTGCTTGTTTGAGAGATTTTAGGAATCTCTGAAGCCTGAGCCAGGACAGGCCATTCATATGGAAAAGCCACTGAAAACAACTTGGGTGGGGCTGTAAATTGGATGGGGCAGGGTCTCATGGATCACCAGGGCAGATCAAACAGTGAGAGACAGGCTGATAGAAACTTAGATATGGCTGCCAGTTATTTCTGCTATGGGGTGGGGGGTGTCTCAGCATAGGAACAATGCCCCCTGTGAGCACCTCTGTCTGGGAGAAGGCTGCCCCCAAGTTCTTGCTCCAATGACAGACACTTCAGCTCCTTCCTGTATGTCCTTGGATCTCACTGAGCCATTGCCCCCGCATTGGAGTTTAGAGGGACAAGTCCGTGTAAGTTTGTGTGCTGGCCCTTTAAAAGGAACTGTCAGAGTCTCTAGCAACCTCTGTATCACTCAGCCACAATCCCTGATGGTTTTTATAGCCCGAAGTTATGGGGTGGGGTCTGGGGAGAGAAGCTCTGGAACTCTGAGCTAGGGGTCTGCTGTGGGGCTGGAACCCTTTGCTCCTGATGGGAGACATCCACAGCCAAGATATCCCTCCTGATTGAAAAACACACCACATGTGGGTATTGACCTTCCCGTTCCAAGCTTCCACCCCTCCTATCAGTCTTGATGTACTTTCTTTACTTCTCTAACTGTAGGACTTCTTTCAGCCAGATTTCAGGTAGTTCTGAATGATAGCTGTTCTATATTTTAGTTGTAATTTTGATATGGTTGTGGAAGGTAGCATGCATTCCAGTCACCTATGCCACCATGTTGGTTCTCTCCAAAAAGTATCAATTTTTAAAAACTAAAATGAAAACTAAATATTTAAATAACCTAGCATAAAATTTACTTGCATACTGAAAAAGAAACTTTTTTTGGTCTGTTTTTACATTATCAAACCTCTTTAACTTATCTTCACAGAGCTAGAGTTATTAGTTTATATAAATTTATATAAGAAATATGAACATAAGTGGCAAAATACCAATCATAACTTTAGTAGAGATAAATGAAGTTGAATTCATTATTGATCTAACAGGAAAGATTAGTGCCTAAGAAAATAATAAGATAGGAAAGCTTTTAAAAGGCATCAGACTGATAAAGATAATTATTTTTGTGTACCCCTAAAGAAAGTAAATTTGGCTCTACTTTATATTGGAGAAAATGGAAGTAATTGTAGAACAAAACATATGGTATGGTAAGGACACAAAAATATTAAAAAATGATTGAGACTTATTACTCCCCAAAGTCTGAACATTAGAATTTGAATTTAGCCAATGAAGTTTTCCATATCAGTGGTTACTTGCCAACTTGGGGTGAAGTAAAGTGGAAAAGGCACCAGAAAACCTTTGGGATTGAAGGATATTTTCACTATCATGATTGTGGCAATGGTTTCATGCCTTTTTGTCTATGTCAAAACTTATTGCATTGTAAACTTTAAATATATGCGCTTATTGCATGGCAGTTATACTTAATAAATATGTTTTTTAAAACCTCCCCCACCCCAAGTACACCCAAATCTGTTAAATTACAGAGTTATATAACTCTTCATTGAGATGTGGAGCAAGATCCCTATAAAATGGTCTTACATAATTTCAGAATGAAGACCACCTTATTGATTTCTCACTTTATATAAGTTGTAGACAAAAGCATTTCAGTGAAACACTGGTAAGAATATATATTTCTTAAATAATTGAGAACCAAATGCTAAAGTCAACAAAACATTAGATATAAATTGCTCTCAAATAAATAACATATGTTTTATCCTTAAAATGCAATGCTAACCTTTCATCTGGAAACTTTTAAACAGTGCAAGCTAAAACAGATGGTTATCTCCTTAACTTCTAAAATACATTATAATTATATAAATATCAAATATTACTAATAATGTAATGGTAACATATACATAATGCACATTAAATTGATTTTATTTTTTTAATACATATTCAAATGAATTTAGAGTTACTTCTTAGTCAAAACATCAAATTAATAATGTGTAAGATTAAGGGCAAGAGTATAATTGAAGGTTGGGTAATCACTTTCTTATGAAAGAGTCATGGTTAAGCATTTTTCATGATTTTATATAGTTGGGTGTCAATGTGATATTTAGGTATAAAACTAAATTAAGATATATGAAATCTATAACTAAATAAAATATGGTCTAAAATAAGTTTACATATGAATAAGATTATTGGTATCTGTAGTGGAAAATGTTTTGATTTTAAAAACTCAACCAATCCTTCTGTTTCTGGCTTCAGAGAGGCTGACTGTGTGAAACTTTGGCACTTACTTTCCGATTGTATTGGGTAACATTGTAAGTTGATTGTCATCCACTTTCAGAGTAGTTAGTTTTTTCAACAGTCCTAAAACAGAGAAGTTTTATTAATATACAAGAACAGATTTCTGATGGAAAATGCACTATAAAAGAGATAAAATAATTACTTGTGATGAAGGTTTGTTATGCTAATTGGCTGCACTCTGCTTATATAAACCTACAAGCTGATATCTGTATGCAGTCTAGTTTTGACCTCCCAGTTGCAAAAAATTACTTATGTCAACAGGAGTTCAAGTTCATCAATGCAGACAAGTAAACAAAACATAGGGCTCCATAGAAACTTGAGTTGACAGTAATACTGCCACATTTCCATTTTCTATTATGCAGCAAATGGACCAGATGAAATTTTTCAAGGCAGATGTGACTTAATATTTAATTAACTCCTAAGCACTAATAACTAACATTCCTGTTGTCATACAAATGGAAAACAAATCTGAATTAAGCCCAATAATTAACAAATGGGTACTGAATTAGTACAATGCAGTGGTTATAATTATAGACTTGGAAAATTACAACATATGACATCATACTCTTTTTGTTACCATAAAACCTTGACTTGGATCAGCAGTAAGCACAAAAATTTGAAGTTTTAATACACTATGCAGAACTTGCCAAGAATGAAATTTCAACTATTTATCTCTGCTGTCTGATTTATGCTCTCCACACCCATATTGCTTGCTCTACTCCCAGGGTTTTAATGAATATTAGCCACAGAGTAATTAAGAACTACTTCCTTTATCCAGCTATAGCATCTACATTAATAACAGACAAATACGTAAATTGACCATACCTCCATGACACTCCACAGCCAATGAGGAGAAAATATGCAAATTAGTGGGACAAAGATGGCGGTGGCCATGGAGCCAGCCAGAGCAGGTGGGAGGCTTGGGTTGCCCCTGTCAACAGAGGAAGCCAAGCTTCCCACCTGCTTGGACCGACAGCTGAAGGAGGGGCCTGTGGGCGGTGACCATGGAGCCGGCCTGGGCACATGGGAGGCTTGGGCTGCTGGGGCCGGCCGCTGAGGGAGGGGCCTGTAAATGGCCCAAAGCCCTTCACCCAGGCTGGCCACACCACCATGGGGTGAGGGTCCCCGCTGGGGGGTGTGGCCAGCCTGCAAACAGCCCTCAGCCCCTTACCCAGGATGGCCATGCCCCCATGGGGTGAGGGTCCTGGCTAGGGGGCATGGTCAGCCTGAAAACAGCTCTCAGCCCCTCACCCAGGCTGGCCACGCCCCCCCAGTGGGGACCCTCACTCCATGGGGGCATGGCTGGCCTGCAAACTGCCCCAGCCCCTCGCCCAGGCTGGTACCATCCCCAGTGGGGACCCCTACCCCAATGGGGGCATGGCTGGGCTGCAAACCACCATAGGCCCCTCGCCCAGGCCGTGCTGCTCCCCAATGGAACCCCCACCCTGATCTGGGACACCTTTTAGGGCAAACCAGCCAGCCCCCACCCATGCACCAGGCCTCTATCTATACTAATAAAAGGGTAATATGCTAATTAGACTGGGAGACCTCCCGGGAGACCTCCCGGATATTCTTCTGGACAAAGCCATGGTGGCAGGGCCAAGGTAGAGTGGTTAGGGGCCAAGAGGGGAAGGCAGTTGTGGGTGTTCAGGCCAGTAGGGGGTCCATTGGGGGTGATCAGGCCAGTGGGGGGGCAGTTGGGGATGAGCAGTCCTTCAGTGGGGGTCAGTTGGGGGCAAGCAGGCTGGTGAGGGGGGCAGTTGGGGGTGAGAAGGCCAGCAGGGGAGCAGTTGGGGGTGATCAGGCTGGTGGGGGGGCAAGCAGGTTGGCGGGGGGCAGTTGGGGGCAAGCAGGCGGGCAGGCAGAGTAGTTAGGGGCAAGCAGGCAGGCAGGCAGGTGAGCGGTTAGGAGCCAGCAGTCCCGGATTAAGAGAGGGATCCCAGATTGGAAAGGGTGCAGGCCGGGCTAAGGGACACCCCTCCCTGCCATGCACGAAGTTCATGCACCAGGCCACTAGTAACATATAATATCAATATGGCTTAAATAGCCAAAATCCAAGGGCAAAGCATTAATAGCTGGCTAATTTTTTTGTTTTACATTAGAAATATGCACATATATTCTAGACTACTTGTTTTGCAGAAAACTTGTTCTGATGGGTACAAGTTTGTGTTTGGGAAATGCTGTTAAGCAAAGTAAAACAGATTTTTTAATGAAGTTTTTCTAGGAGTTTTTAATATATTACTGTAGCAATGTGTCTGTCCAAAGTTATGGCATTTGTGTATGTACCTGAGGATTATCTCGTACAAGCAGTGTTTTGTGAACAGGCTTTGAGAAGATCATGCCCACCCATTGCAAGTATTGTAAGGATTCCTTAAAGGCCTAGAGTAAGTCACAAAAATTCTGAAATAAAGCTGTGGCTGCACTTTAAATTGCAGTATGATCGGTTACACAGTCTTCAGAGGCACTCACAATCTCTACTCTGAGGGAGAGAAATGTGATCCCTGTCAGACTGCTTGGAAAAAATGCCCGTAATATTTAGAGCTTAATACATCAGCTCGTGACCCCAGGACACAGTACTGAAAACAGCCCAGCATCTGAAAACGAGGACAATGCACACTGGGGTCATTTATCTCTGAAGCTGGGACACCCACTGCCATATTCATCTCTGTTCAAAGGGTGACTGAGTCACCTTAGCTTCTCTGGTGTGTATGTTAAAATATCAACCTTGAACGTGTAAAAGAACTCCTGAGCTTGCTCATCAATTGTGAAAAGAAAACAGGACTATGACTCATAGGTAAATTTTCTATGACTTGTTAACTCTGATCAAACTGGTGGAGCTAGAGGAGGGCTGATTTTCTCAACATCACTTGACGGGGTCACAAGAAGTTTTGGGCTGAGCCAACACCAGGAAGCCAGCGAGGTCTCAAAGCCTTCTTTAAGAGAATTGCAGTTCCCAGGTGTGATGTAGTAGTGAGAAAATTGTGAGTCAGGTTAAGGATTCAGGCCAAAAGATTGATGTAATAGATGTTTCTAAAGAATGGGGGAGTGGCTCTGACAATTGACAGACGTTTCTACAGCTTTGAAAGCTGAAGCAAGTTAGGCCTCCCTGCTTAGTTCCATGTTGGTGGATTGGAACCTCACTCATTTGTGATGTGGTTACTTTGTCACTCATATATTCCATCCAAGAGGCGCTTCTTGGACAGATACTGGAGCTTTTGTAGGCACCTGATTGCCCTTGGAATGGTATTAGGCCAGTGGCCTCACCATCATTGCTACTCATTATTTTCCTCTGGCAGATAATTCCTTCACTGCATTTCTATATCACATCTGCTTGGACTCTCCTTGTCTACCTTACAGGAACCAAAAGTATTTCATCTTATTCTTTGCCTTCTACTGGCACCCTTCCCCAAGTCCCAACCTCTTTATCCTATACTCCAAACTAGGAAGTACTAAAGAGAAAGAAAAAGGAGGCCTTTTACCATGATTTTAGCTATTAACATATAATTAGTAGTAAATATATTTAAATATTAATGTAATTTATTTAATACTATAGCTGATATTTACATGAAATTTATACACATGTAATAGAATTTTAAAAGCCTAAATACTGTGCACTAACTCAATCTAAGATTATAATAATAATTATACTATTATAACAGCTAATATTGAGTACTTACTATGTTCCAGGTATTATTGCAAGCAATGTTACATAGATTAATTCATTTATTCTTCAAGGTCACACAGCTAGCACAAAAGCCAGAATTGGAACTGCTAATTTCCTAGCCTACTTTCTTAAAGGAAGATAGTTTAAACAAATGATTACAACATATTTTATTTCTTTATGTGATATTTTTATTTCCAGGATTTCTAATTGGTTATTTTTTTTAAAACAACTACCTGTTCTTAGTCATAGCTTCTGTTTTTATAAGTTATTATTTTGAGACAAACATTTTTCTTCCTTTTATCTATTTGAAGATCTAAACATACTTAAACTCTTTTTTTTTATATTGCTTGATGACTTCAGTTTCCCTTGGGTAAACTTTCTTACTTGTTTGAATATTCGAATTGCCATAATAATATTAGCTTAAATTTCTTTTGATTTACATGCTCATTTGTGAGGGTGAATGTATTCTCATTATCTATGCTCACCCCTGCCTGTCTGGCAGTTTCATGATTATCTCCACCTGACCCTCATGTTTCTGGAGTTCAGAACTAGGTCTTACATTAGCAACACGGTGTTCTCATCCCATGTGGATATTGCAAATCTAGTCTAAACCAGCTTGTGACTAGCCACAGTTTCCAGCAGTGAATCTTTATATGTTCTTGCCTTCCACCCTAGCTTCACATATTAGCTGTAGGTTTTTGCAGCAGTCTCTCTTCACAGATAAGGGGTTCCTTCTTCAATCTCCTGTAAATTTGAGTTCCCTTGTTAGGTTTAAGGTCTTTTTTTTTTTTCACAGCAGGAAAGGAATGTAAGTCTGCTACTGCTGTTTGAGGTCTGGAGTCTCTCAGGCCTGGGGTTACTGGTATGTTTTTATTCTATCTCAGGTTAAGGTAGATGTTCATTCTTCTTAAGTATGTCTAAATTATTTTATTTTCTGAATATCTGAGGAGCACTTACCATATACCAGGTATAGTTCTTGGTATCAACGAGGCAGTAATGATATGAGTTTTTTTTCTATTCTCATTATGTCTTTGAAGAGGTATGGAGTGGTGTTTGAGTAGGAGTGTATCTTGACTGGAGAATGCTCTTTTTACCATTATACTACCTTACCTTCTATTGCACAAAAGAATATTTCCTAAACTTGCTTGATCATAAGTTTGATTTAGGATGTTTAATAAACATACAGATTAGAGGGCTATCACAAACTTACTGAATCAGAATTTTCAGAGTGAGAGTGTGGAAATGTGTAAGTGTTTAATAAAGCACTCAGATAAGTCTTATGACAGAGCAGATCAGAGCAGATTGGAGAAATCTATACTAATAAAAGGGTAATATGCTAATTAGACTGGACATCCATCCAGATGTCCTTCCGGAAAAAGCTATGGTGGCGGGGGCCAAGGCAGAGGCAGTTAGGGGTGATCAGGCTGGCAGGGGAGAGCAGTTAGGGGTGACCAGCCAGCAGGGGAGGGCATTTAGGGGTGACCAGGCCAGCAGGGGAGGGCAGGTAGGGCAACCAGGCTGGCAGGGGAGGGCAGTTAGGGATGACGAGGCTGGCAGGCAGAGGCAGTTAGGGGCGACCAGGCAGGCAGGGGAGCAGTTAGGGGCATCAGGCAAACAGGCAAAGTGGTTAGGGGCGATCAGGCAGGCAGGTGAGCGGTTAGAAGCCAATGGTCCCGGATTGAGAGAGGGATGTCCAACTGCCTAAACCAGCAGTTGGACATTTCCCGAGGGGTCCCGGATTGGAGAGGGTACAGGCTGGGCTGAGGGACGCCCCGCCCCCCCGCCGCCCCCATGCATGAATTTTGTGCACAGGGCCTCTAGTATTGTTATAAAGTATGTGATTATATAAATAAAAAAGTCATCAAATTGAGAAGGAAAAGAAAAGCTATCCTGTCTTGTTAAAATTACATTCTCAATTAGCCTGAACATGGAAGTAATAGGATACTAAAGAATAATTTGGGAACTACCTTGTCTTCTAGCTTCCCTTCAACCAGGCTGCCTCAGTTGTGACTTAATTTTCAGAAGGATTAATAAGTTCCAGAACATATGACATGTTTAATTCAGAGTGTTAAAAACCATATTCCAAAGTTAAGTTATTTGATGATTACCCTACTTGATGAGTTCTCTCATAAATAATAGCAAGATATCTATGCAAAAAATTTACTCATTATTTAAATTAGATTCTTTTATTATTCTATTAATATAAAAATTTAAAACAAAAGTAGATTGAGTGCTTAATATATACTAACAAATTATCTGCCCTCATGAATCTCAGCATGTAAAAGACAATATGTCTTTTTAAAATAATAGAAAATAAAATAAAGATATTTTATATTTATCGTATATTTATGTTATTTCTAGATCACAGCAATGTTACAATAGTATCAAAACTAGATTATAGCTACACTATGTAAATAGAAGCTACTGTAATAAAATTACTCTAAATCTAAGATATATATACTCCTTACAATAACATTTTCAGTTAGGAGACCTGAAAAAATTTAAATATATCAATTTAGTAAGATCATTTTCATAAGAGAGCCTTCTTGAATTTGATAACGAGTTACCATCTCATTTTAAGATAACAGTAAAATACTATTTTATCATCTTGAATAATGAACTTGCTAATTTATTAATATCAAGCTAACAGTATATTCCCCACATCTACAGACAAACTATACTGCCAAGAAAGAAAATTACATATTTGACAAACATTTATGGCAAAATATATTCTCACCTATAGAGTCCGGCAACTGTTGCAACATATTGGATGACAGTAAGAGGTCCTCAAGGGCTTCACATCCGGAAATGTCCATGTCCACTGTTTCTATTCTGTTTTTTGACATATCCAGGTACACCAACATCTTTAACTTCCCTATAGACTTGATGACATTGCATAAACTCAGGGTTAGCTGAGAAACTTTCAAAAGACATTTTAAAGTTGTAAAAACCACAAATTAAATTAATTTTAAAAGAAGCTACAACAATAACAAGTGTTGGCAAGAATGTGCAGAAACTGTAACGTTTATACATCGCTAGTAGAAACATAAAATGGTGCAGCCACTTTGGAAAAAACAGTTTGGCAGTTCTTTGAAATGTTAAATTAGAGTTTCTATATGATTCAGTAATCCCTAGGTATGTATTCAAGAATGAAACATATGTCTACACAAAAACACGAATGTTCGAAGCAGTATCATTCACAATAGCCAAAAAGTGGACACAATCCAACTGTCCATTAACTGGCAAATAGATAAATACAATGTGGTATATCTGCATGTTGAAATATTATTTATAAAAAAATTACTGATACATGCTACAAAATGTATGAACCTTGAAAACATATGCAATGAAAGATGCTAGTCACAAAAGTCCACCCATTGTATGATTCCATTATATGGCTATCCAGAATAGACTGACTTATAGGGAGTAGATTAGGGTTGCTAGAGGCTGGGGGAAGAAGGGAGTGGGAGTGACTGCTAATGGTGTCAGGGTTTCTTTTAGAGGAAATGGAAATGTTCTAAATTTAGATTTTGGTGATGACTCCACATCTATATGAGTGTTCTAAAAACCAATGAATTGCATTCTTTAAATGGGCGAATTTTATGGTACGTGAATTATATCTCAATACAGCAGTTAAAAACACACACAGCAATAATCTCAAAGTTGCCACTGAATTAAATAACATGAAGTTGCTACCAGAGCATCATATGTTGACATGTTGATTCTTAAAATTTCAAATGCATAAGAAAGGTTTTACACGGTGTTTTGGACTTTATACTAAGCGGATTCAATATTTTGTTCACTTAACAATACTTTTTGAGGATCTACTGTGAGTTAGGGCTTGTGTTATATACCAGAGAACAACCATGACAAGTCAGCTAAGGATGGGGAGAGACTGGTCATCATACAGACAAAGTCTTTATCATGAAGGAGCTCAGAGTAATGAAGGAAACCATCAAATAAACAAATGATTATCATACCCTGCGATATGGCACTGAAAAAAGCATGTAGGGAATGCCACAGAAGCATAGTCCTGTAAATTTCCTGGAAGACACTGCCCGTCAAGAAGAGAAGAACCCGTACATGGAAGAGAGAACAGCACATACATTCCCAGAGGAGTGTGAGAAAGCACGGCATGTTTGCGGAAGGTGAGAAATTCAAAGTGACAGCATATCGTGATGAAGTTAGGATGATAAGAAGCCAGCTGTTCAAAGGTCTTACATGTTACGCGGGGAGATATGCACTCTATCTAACAGGCACGGAAAGCCGGTCAGGGCTTTTCAGATGAAAAATGACATGACTGGACTTGCGCTTTGAAATAATAACTTCAGGGAATTGTAAGGAGAAGATTCGTGACTGGAGTCAGAGTGACTCATTAGGAAGATCTGGAAGCAGTTTAGCGGAGGAGGTGAGAGGGACCTGAATTCATGCAGAAGTGAGGATGAAGAGGCAATGGGCTCAAGAAAGATGTCGAAGTGGAATGATTGAGTAACTGATCGCTGAGCACGGGGGAGGAATCAATTCATACCTTGGGCAGAAAGCGAACAGTAATGGCTTGGTTGAGACAATGGACAATAGGACTTCAAGCAAGATGAAAGTCTTAATTTACCTTGTCTTTAAGGGCATGTCTTGCAAATAAATGTCTCACACATACCAGTGTTCAGTGGTTCATCTGCTTAGTCTCTACCTGTGTACACTTTACTATAGTGTGTCTACTTATTTGAGAAAGTATAAATAACCAAATACAGAAAAAAATTTATTACAAACACAAGCTCACAGCTGGCACTGTGCTAAGTACTTTATATTTATTATTTGATTTAATACTTTATATTCTTGCCACTCAAAATGTGCTTCACAGACCAGCAGCACTGGCGCCACCTGGGGGCTTGTCTGTAATTTGGACGCTTAGACCCACTCTAGACCTACTGAGCCAGAATCTGCCCTTTCACTCACATTAAAGCTTAGAGGTTCAGGAACGTTACCCATTGGGTTCCCTGGGAAGCAGAGACAAAGAGGAGTTTATGAGAGAGTGTTCTTAGAATCAATAACAGTGGGAAGAAAGAGGTAAGGAAGGACGTAGGACTGGACAGATGAAGAAGTTGGGCTGTGATCAAGTCTTGAGGAAGTTTTCAGCTGACCCTTTAAGGAGCACTGAAGTGGGAATTGCCTTAAAGTTGTCCTGAGTGGGGTGAAGGGGCCAGGCTTTTGCACCCCTGCATGGATTGGTCATTGGATGGAGGTCTCCCAGAATAGGGGTGTGACCCTGGGTGAGGAGGTTCTCTTCAGCTGAAGGCAGTTCCTGAAGAGGGTGGGGAGCTGCAAGCAGTATTCCCAGAAGCTGGGGAAAGAGAGTAAGCTCTTCATTCCAGGCGGGTGATGCAGCATCGACTGCAAGTAACCTTCCAAGGTTACCCCATTAATAAGGGGTAGAGCTAAACTTAAACTCACCTTTATTGGGTTACTCACTACAAAGCCTATTGATTATATTGGCAGTTCTGCCCTCTAACTCCCAAAGTAACACAGCACTATGGCTCTAGCCCTGCTCCCTCCACTCCCAACAGTGGGAACAAAGTCAGGGAGTAGGTTAATACGTGCCAGACTAGGAACTGAGTACTTTGGGTGAGTCAGGCCAGAGAGCTGAGCTTCTCCCCATGCCTAGCAATATGTCATTTGGAAAAATACTGTCACTTTACTTACAGCTTTCCACCCCAAGGAACTATTATGTTGCCTTATCTCATTCTTCTCTTCTGGTGAGCAAGGGAAAAATGATGTATGTGTTTGTGTGTGTGTATCTTTTGTTCCTTTATTATGAGAAACTTCCTTTTTGAAGCTTCTTTCATTGCTATCTCTAGGACAACTCAATATTTTGGTTTAAAGTTTCTAAACATCTTTTTAAAAAAGCAAAACAAAATAATTCTTTGGCGTTTCTTTTTAATTTTTCTAAACTCTCACTCTCGAGCACCTTATAAAGGCAATAGTATCTTAGAGTGAAAGAGGTCTTGAGTCCCAGTATCTCAGAGTCCTTGAGGATATGGAATGTCCCTCCAACAGCCCTCTGGACAGTGAGGCCATGGTGAACAGTGGAGAGCAAATGGGAAGAGCAGAAGCCATCACAAGCAAAACAAGATATTGAAATTTGTTTAAAAATAAATGTGGACTCAATACATTGTCTAGTCATATTTTGGTTGATTGATCTCAGAGTGATGGTCACAAGACAGTTATATAGAAGAACAATTTTTCATCATTATCTATTTTCTTCTCTGATGTATGAAAACTACAGTGGAAAAATGATAGCCCGGGCTTCTACAATTATTTAAAAAGTACATTACCTTAACGTATTATGATAGATGAACTAATAATAAAATAAACTTGCTTTTATTCCTGTGTCTTATGACACTAAATTTTTAGGATTAATCATTCTGTGAGACAGACACATAGGCTGAAAACCACATTCAAGATTAGTCTTTCAAAGTCATGTGCTTCTAGGTAATTGTGTAACAGCTGTTTGCCAGCACTGACATGAGAAAGCCACACCTGTTTGACAGGGGAGTTGTGGGGTATTTCCACAAGGAGTATAGCAAAATGTGAAATTCAAGTGTACTCGCTAATGTATGAGATCTGCTTAAAGTTGTTAGTATACAAAAAAAAATCTATTGAAACAGACAAATTAAGCAGCATTATTTGTTTTACAGATTTCATATTACCTTGCCATTTAAATAATAAGCTTACTAAGGGATTTGAGTTCTGAATTGGTTTGCAAGATCAGATTTTGGGAATGTAAAGATTGTGAAAAGCAAGATAAACCTAATTCTCATTTGTACCTTCTACTAATTCTCTAGCGATAAAACTTGGAACATCATAGTGAACAACAGCCTGGGGAGTTGGTGCGAATTACAGTTCCACCATTTACCGGCTGTGTGACCTTGGGCCAGTCACTTAGTTACTTACTCTTTCCATTTCAGTATCCTCATCTATAACAAGGGGATGGTAAAAACCCAATTTCATAGTTATTATGAGGATTCAATGAGTCAGTATTTGTAAAACACCTAGATAGATGCCTAGCCCATGATAAATGCTGTGTGTTTTTGAATAAATAAATAAACACATTGAAGAAACATGTAGAAACATCTTGATTCCTCGATCTTGCACAGGAAATTGATGAGGATCTTACCTGTGTTGCCCCAGGATGTCTACATACCTTCAATATGGCACAAATCAGGCTGTACTGTGTGTAGTGGAATCCAGATCTTTCTCTCTGTTATGTGTGAGTGAGTGCCTCAAACAAATATATTCAAAATCATTGAATATATTATCTTTGTAACCTTGACATTAGGATGGTTTCTGGTTCAGACGGGTGTATTTGTAAATGGTTTTTGAATAACTCAATAACTAGAAGATATGCATGCTTTTTTGGTTTGTGTCTGCGATGATGGCAGAAGTGTATTTTTTCGATAAGAAAAGAAAGCATTTTCCCCCTAATCTTTTGCCAGATTTTCTCATTTATGTGGTCTCAGGCTTGTTCAAAAGAGAATAAGCTTCTTGTTCCTGTTGCTTTTGTAATCATTTAAAGAAATTTTCAATGTCAATTCAAAAGAGGAATAAAATTGGCTTCGGGAACGTGCAGCTAAATCTCAGTGGTGGAAGAAGGATTATGAATCTTCTGCCCTGGCTAATTAGCCTAATGGAGGAAGTTTGGAATTGGCTATCACCACTGGGAGCCTTGTGGCTGCTGTGTGTGTGTACACATGCTTATTTTAAAAATATATTTTTGTTGATTTTAGAGAGGAAGCGGGGGGGGGGAGATAGAAACATCAATGATGAGAGAGAATCATTGATTGGCTGCCTTCTGCACACCTGGGGATTGAGCCTGCAGCCCAGGCATGTGCCCTGACCAGGAATCAGAAGAGAACTGTGACCTCCTGGTTCATAGGTGGATGCTCAACCACTGAGCCATGCTGGCCAGCCTACATATGCTTATTTGAATGTATGCATTGTGATAGGCAGAGGCAATGTTTTATGGAAAGTCATTCTTTCACTGGATGGAAAAAGAAGGAATAGTCACACTAAATGAGTTGATTGGCAAATCTGCTCAGGAGACACTGGACAGCCCATTAATTGAGGGAAAAATTTGACTATAATTTTACTTTCTGTTGTTACACCGTATAATCCTTGCCATTTAAAAAAAATTCAAATGGGTTTTACTAAATATCACCTGAACTAAGAAAGATTTTTTTATTTTGTGGAAGAGATCTAACAATATGATCAGAAACCATGATCTAATTACCAAGAAGAATAAGGATGATTGCACAAAACAAAGAGTTGGTATTGTATGTGGCATTTCTGTTTTTACAATATAACAATATAAAATTTAAAAATAACACATGCAGAAAGAGATGACAAATATACTCCTAAGAGAACAAGAGAAGTCTTTCATACATTTTACATACCTGTAACAGCCACAAAGGGTACATGAAATACTCAAAAACAAGTTACTGAGAAACACTTGGTAACTGAACACTCCTAACAAATGTGTTACTACTTTGAAATGCAAACACTGAGATTTAAGAGTATCTTCAATTGCAGTTAGTATATAACACAGATGCTGGACAACATGGTATAACAAAAACTTACATACCCCAGGTAGCACTTGCAATGCATTATTATCCATCCACAACTCCCTTAAATTTTGTATTTGATCCAGAACTTCAGGCTGGGAGAGAAGTGGGGAGAAAGGAAAGAGGAGAAGAAACCAAATTAGTCTTTTCTTATTACAGTATAAGATATAATTTCTTGGTCTGGAACTTATATTTGGGAATCTAATTTTAATCCTCTAAGAAATTCCAAATTTAACAAACCTTTAGCAAAACTGGTGGTCCCCGAGTTAGCCAACCTAGAATTAATCTGAAAACAATCAGAATGACCTCTAAAAAACATGCTGCTGGGTATCAGTATGAAATTGCCTCTTCTACCCAGGAGAGTTGTGTGTTTCACATACTAGCTCTTTTTTTTTAAAAAAAATATTTTTTATTGATTTCAGGGAGAGGGAGAGAGAAAATGATGAGGATTGGGCCTACAACTCAGACATGTGCCCTGACTGGGAATCGAACCGTGATCTCCTGGTTCATAGGCTGATGCTCAACCACTTAGCCACACTGGCTGGGCTCACATTCTAGTTCTTAATACACAGACAATTGCATTTTTTATTTAAGCAAACTGCTTACCTGAATTCTAAAAAAAATAAAAATGTATTCTCCTTTAACACCCTATAATTATCATTTGGAGCATTTATTACACTCTATTAAATAAGTGCATTATTTCTTTATTAGAGTACTAGAGGCCTGGTGCATGAATTTGTGCACAGGTGGGGTCTGGTGGCCCACCCTGATGGGGGCCCATTGGGCCAGGCTGGCGGGGGGAGGGGTCATGAGCGGTTGGCTCCTGATTGGGTGGGGGGGCGGCAGGGTGTGGTGCCGGCCAAGGGGAGGGGCTGTGGGAAGTTGGCTGGCTAGTCCTGCCCTCAATTGGGGTGTTGGGGGCTAATTGGGAGCAGGGTCGGCCAGGGGGCGGGGATCGGGGCACAGATCAGGCTGGTTGGCTGCCTCAGTGCGCATCATAGCCATTGGTTGTTCCAGTTGTTCTGGTTGTTCTGCCAGTCCAGTTGCTGGGATTTTATATATATAGATAAGCTTTTGAAGGGCAGAACAATGTTTGTTTTTTAATCATTACAACCTCATATCCCCATTGTTTGCCACAGTACCTGACACACAGTAGGTTTTTATCATATGTGTTAGTGCCTTATATACCCCCCTCCAGGAATTACATTACCATGAGATGATGACAATATGAATAAGACCCACTCATTTTTTTAAATTAATCTTTATTGTTGAGATTATTACAGATGTTCCTCTTTTCCCCCCCCATAACTCCCCTCCACCGGGTTCCCACCCCACCCCAGGCCCTCGTCACCCTATTGTCTGTGTCCATAGGTATTGCCTACATGCATATAAGATCTTTGACTAATCATTTTCCGCACCCACTTCTCTTTGAGAATCATCAGTCTATTCCATTTCCATGCCCCTGATTCTATTCCATCCACCAGTTTATTCTGTTCATTAGATTTTTTAAAAATTACATCTTTATTGTTCAGATTATTACAGTTGTTCCTCTTTTTTCCCCCCATAGCTCCCCTCCACCTGGTTCCCACCCCACCCTCTGCCCTTATCTCAACCCCCCCACTGTCCTCATCCATAGGTGTATGATTTTTTTCCAGTCTCTTCCCACACCCCCATACCCCTTTCCCCCCAAGAATTGTCAGTCCACTCCCTTTCTATGCCCCTGATTCTATTATATTCACCAGTTTATTCTGTTCATAAGATTATTTATTCACTTGATTTTTAGATTCACTTATTGATAGATATGTATTTGTTATTAATATTTTTTATCTTTAACTTTTTCTTCTTCTTCCTCTTCTTAAAGGATACCTTTCAGCATTTCATATAATACTGGTTTGGTGGTGATGAACTCCTTTAGCTTTTTCTTATCTGTGAAGCTGTTTATCTGACCTTCAATTCTGAATGATAGCTTTGCTGGATAAAGTAATCTTGGTTGTAGGTTCTTGCTATTCATCACTTTGAATATTTCTTGCCACTCCCTTCTGGCCTGCATAGTTTCTATTGAGAAATCAGCTGACAGTTGTATGGACACTTCCTTGTAGGTAACTAGCTGTTTTTCTCTTGCTGCTTTTAAGATTCTCTCTTTGTATTTTGCTCTTGGCATTTTAATTATGATGTGTCTTGGTGTGGTCCTCTTTGGATTCCTTTTGTTTGGGGTTCTCTGTGCATCCTGGACTTGTAAGTCTATTTCTTTCACCAGGTAAAGGAAGTTTTCTGTCATTATTTCTTCAAATAGATTTTCAATATCTTGCTCTCTCTCTTCTTCTGGCACCCCCATAATTCAGATTCTGGTATGCTTGAAGTTGTCCAAGAGCCTCCTTACACTACCTTCATATCTTTGGATTCTTTTTTCTTTTTGTTTTTCCGGTTGGGTGTTTTTTGCTTCTTCGTATTTCAAATCTTTCACTTGATTCTTGGGATCTTTTGGTCTGCTGTTGGATCTCTGTATAATATTTTTTATTTCAGTCAGTGTATGCTTAATTTCTAGTTGGTCCTTTTTCATATCCTTGAGGGTCTCACTAGATTTATCAAGGGTCTCAATAAATTTATCGGCGGTTTCTAGAAAATTCTTGAAAAACCTTAGAAGTGTGGTTTTGAACTCCATATCCAGTAGTGTGCTTTCCTCCATTTCTGTCATTTGTGACCTGTTTCTTTGTCTCTGCCTTTTGGCTGCTTCCCTGTGTTGATAGAGTGGCTTTCTGTGCTCGGTGTCCTATAGGGCCCAGTGGCTCAGCCTCCCCAATTACCTGAGGTAGACACTCTTGGTGCACCCCTTTGTGGGCTTTGTGCACAGTCTTGTTGTTGTTAAGCCTTAATTGTTGTAGGTATCACTGGGAGGAATTGACCTCTAGGCCAATTGTCTGTGAGAATCAGCTGTGTCTACGGTAGGAGAACTTCTGTGCTGAAGACACCCTTATAGGGCAAGACTTGCTTCAGTGGGGCTTTGGTGCTCACTGAGTCTGCCCCCTGAGTGTGTCCCTTATGGATCTGAGGAGTTGTAATCTGGATGGTCCCACTCTGACCACTGGGTACACTGGCTCTTGGATCTCTAAGGAGATGCTAATTTAGCCTCTGCCTGAGGCTACCCAGCAGGAGCTATGGAGAGATCTGAAGATTCCTCTTCTTTGTTTGGGGTTTGGAGGTGCCCAGATGAGGCCCAGCTGTGAAGCAATGCAAGCTGCTGTGAGTCCTTGGGCCTTCTTTTGGATGTTCTGGGTCTATCTGACCCAGCTGCAGTTTGTTAGGTAATTTTAGATTGCAAAGGGCCAGGCCATTCATATGCAAAAGCCTCTGCACACAGCTTGGGTGGGGCAGGGTCTCAGGGAATCAACAGGGTGGAGCAAACAGCTATGGTTGATCCTCAGCCCTGCCCTAAGAGACCCCGGGTCTCAGTGTCCCGTGGTAATCTCTGCAAGCACCTCTGAGAGAAAGCTGCCCTTGAGTTCCGCCCGATGCCAGACAGTCCAGTTTCTCCCCATATGAGTCTGGGTCCCCAGAGACTCACCCAGAACTGAAGTTCAGAGCAGTCAGGAGCTTGAGATTCCCTCCCAATTGAAAAAGACAACCGTGTCCACAGTTGCCAGCCCTTTCCGCGTGGGCCTCCTTACCTCTGCACTTTACTTCCGCACCTCCTCTGAGTCTCAGTGTACTTTTCTCTTTCCTTATAGTTGTATAATTTCCACTCAGCCAGCCTTCCTGTGGTTCTGGATGATGTCCGTTTTGTCTTTTAGTTGTATTTTTGAAGTGGTTGTGTGAGGCAGCAATTTCAGGTGTTTACCTATGCCGCCATCTTGGTTTCTCTCAGTCTAGGTTTTTCTGTTCATTAGATTTTTTATTCATTTGATTTTTAGATTCAATTATTGATAGATATGTATTTGTTGTCACTTTGTTGTTCATATTTTTTATCTTTACCTCCTCCTCCTCCTCCTCCTCTTCTTCCTCCTCCTCCTCCTCCTCCTCCTCCTCCTCCTCCGCCTTCTTCTTCTTCTTCTTCTTCTTCTTCTTCTTCTTCTTCTTCTTCTTCTTCTTCTTCTCCTTCTTCTTCTTCTTCAAAAATACCCTTCAGCATTTCATATAATACTGGTTTGGTGGTGATGAACTCCTTTAGCTTTTTCTTATCTGTGAAGCTCTTTATCTGACCTTCAATTCTAAATAATAGCTTTGCTGGGTAGAGTAATCTTGGTTGTAGGTTCTTGCTATTCATCACTTTGAATATTTCTTGCCACTCCCTTCTGGCCTGCATAGTTTCTGTTAAGAAATCAGCTGACAGTTGTATGGACACTTCCTTGTAGGTAACTAACTGTTTTTCTCTTGCTGCTTTTAAGGTTCTCTCTTTGTCTTTTGCCCTTTGCATTTTTATTATGATGTGCTTTGGTGTGGACCAGTCAGAAATTAAGCATACACTGACTGAAATAAAGAACAATATACAGGTATTCAACAGTAGACTAGAGGATCCCGAGAATCAAATCAATGATTTGAAATACAAGGAAGCAAAAAATACCCAACCAGAAGAGCAAAAAGAAAAAATAATCCAAAAATATGAAAATATTGAAAGGGGCCTCTGAGACAACTTCAAGTGTACCAACATCCGAATTATGGGGGTGCCAGAAGAAGAGAGAGAGCAAGATATTGAAAACCTATTTAAAGAAATAATGGCAGAAAACTTCCCCTACCTGGTGAAAGAAATAGACTTACAAGTCCAGGAAGCACAGAGTCCCAAACAAGAGGAATCCAAAGAGGACCACACCAAGACCCACTCATTTCTTATCTCTTCATTTATCAACAAATAATTATTTGTTGTGGAGATGCCTACTATAGGAAAGGTACAAATCAGAATCCACAGTTATTCAGACTTCATTCCTGCCTTGACATAGCTAATAATTTAATTGGGGAGATGAATGTATATAAATAATGAGAACACAAGATAGCACATGGGAGGAAAGAATAATGTAGAGAAGTTCAGAAAAAGGAGAGAGAGAATATAACCAAGGTGTAACACATGGCACATAAGAAAACACTTTAGTTACCAAAAAAAGCT